TGGTACACATTTATTGTTAAATGAAAATAAAGGAAATTTATTACCTGTATATGGTACGGTAGTACGGTAGTTGTCAACACAAACCAGACGAACTGTGAATCCTACAGTATCAAGAATTTACTCATTTATTCAATGACAATCATGTCATCATCTTCTGGATCATCATCATAACAATCTAATTCCTGAATTTCCTGGTGAATTTCTTGTGACTCCATTTCTTTCAGAATCAGTGGACCAAAACTCATGTTTAGCAATAGCATTCTGAGACAGCCTAGGGGGGCCTTATTTTCGGGGGATGCCTTATATTTCACTCAGAAGGAAACCTGTAAGTAGGTCTTATTTTTGGAGGATGTCTTATTTTCGGGGAAACACGGTATTATGTTAACTCCACCCGCGCCCAGGAAACCCTTCTGCGGCCAAGAAAAAGCGGTTATCCCACAATGCTGCAGACACTCGCTCAGAAGGCCCGAGGCGGCGTGCACAGAGCAGGTCCCAGCAGAGTGCAGGCAGGCCTGGCTCACCGCCGCCCGGCAGTGCTGAGCCTCACCGCAGACGGTGTGTCCACATCTTCTGGAGACAGGGAGTCCTGGCCGGCCGCCAACCTCCATTTCACCCTCACTCTCCCCCACCCACCCCCCGCTTCCCAGCCGTGGCAGCTGGCAAGGGGGCTAACTTAGCTCAGAGCATCAGGCCTGCTGAAGACTGAGCTACCCCCCAGTCTATGGGATTCAGGAGCAGGCATCACCATCAGCCCTCAGACAACTCGCCTCTGTCCACACCATGGAGAGATCGAGAGTGCCAGTCCTTTCCCTTCCAGCCTTCAGAGAGCACTGTGTCTCCAGAGAACGCCCCTGGGCACACACTGCAAACACACAGTCCCTGGCCTCCCCGGGCTGAGGTCTCATTTCCGCCGTCTGCTCCCACTGGGTCTTCCTCGGGCCCCTGCTCACTCCGAGGCTCCTGCGGTCCCCGGGTTCGGGCATGTGCGAGACAGTTCTCAGGAGCAGGGAACGTCACTCGTGTGACTGGTTTCCTGTAAAGGGCACCGCGTGGAACAGTCAAACAGAAGACCTGCACGGGCGAGGTCCGGGGAAGAGGGCCATGGAGCTCCGCGGCCCCTCTGGGTGCCGCCCTCCAGCACACGGATGTGTGCCCCAACCTGGAATCACCCCAGACACTGCCGTGTAGGAGTTCTGTGGAGGTTTTGTGATGCAGGCAGCATTGATGAACTCATTGGCCATTGGTGATTAACTCCATCGCCAGCCCCTCCCACTCCAGCCCCAATCCTGACCGGCTTTAGGAGATCTAGGCCAAGGACCTGGAGCAGGAGAGAGACCAAACATTTATTTTGTCTTATACCACAGGCCCAGGTGCCCATGGTCCATGAAGGGGAAGGCACTTTACCACCCTCACAAAAGTACAGTTCCCAGGCAGCACGCATGTGCACCAAACACCCACACCCCCCACATACATACTCATAAGCACACATGCACACACATGTTCATATCCACACACACGTACATAGACTCACAAATACACATGTGCACTGTGTGTATATACACTTACATGCACACAGTTACATCCTTACATGAACACACACACACACTAGTTAGGTGACTGAATATCATTACAAAATATGAAATGTAAATAGAACAGTTCTTGGAATCTGCTGGTTCCTGGCTGCCATTAGGGTGGGAAAGGCGTGTGTGGGGCACACAGATGGGACCGGCGCTGTGGTAATGAACTCAGATTAGAGCTGTGAAGTTCAGCTTTGCGGTGTCTGCGAATGAAGGAGTATTTCCTGTGAGAGAGTTCTGGCGGCTGGTCAGGGGCTCAGTCCAGATGGGGTCAGTTTCCCTTCAAAATACATTCCCCCAGCCCTGTGTGAACGCCGTCACTCACGGTGCTGTCGGAGAACCACACGGGGTGCCAGCCCTGCCCAGGCTCCTTCCCCCGTACCCTCCCTGCCCTGCCCGCCCCAGCGCCAGACCTGCCTCCACGCTGAGGTCACACCACATTGTCCTCAGTGCACCCTTGAAGCGCTGCCTCTGAAAATCAAAAGACAGCACGCACGTTTAACGCAAGGTAAGAGCCAAAACAGAGCTAAGGATAGGCACATGCAGATTAGTTCTTACCAGGGACTGCGAAAGGCACCCTAGGAGCAGGGGCAGAGGCCCGGGGAGGAGGCAGGGAGGAAAGGACATTCACAGGAGGGTCTGCCTTCCCAGCCCTCAGCCCTGCGGTCCAGGACGCCAGGCCAGGCCAGGCCGGCCTCTCCGGGAAGCTCCCTGGAGCGGAAGGTCTCATCACACTCACCTGTTTGCCAGGCTGCAGGCGCTCGTGCTGGAAAAGTGAATGCATTTCCTTTTTAAAAATTACAAATAAATAGGGAATATATTTGTTCAAATGTCATTCAGCTTTGGGACCATGTGGCTTTCCAGAGTATATATTGAATAGATTTAAATCATACTATCTTTTTATTTTATCCCATAAGCCTAGATTTGATTTGATAGCCCGAGTTCAGAGGTGGAGAAATAATTGGGTTATTTAGTCCCTGACATTTTCGTTTTGTCCAACTTTTACCATGAAAATTCTTTTACAGATATAAGGAAAGGGAACACATGTACAACTTCCTCCCCATATCCAACAAGATTGCTAACATTCTGTCAGATCAGCTTTATACGTATGTATTGTTTTTGCAGGATAATTTATAAAGAAGTTTCAGACATCCACACCTGTCACTTTAATAGGGTAAATCATCTCCCAAATGAGGCTGTTCTCCTAGCAGTGTTTCAGGAATCTTTAAATACAGATTCCTGAATCCCAACTAAGAAGTGCTAAACTAGAATTTTTGGGAACATATAGGTAAAATGGTATACTTGTATCTAAGACAGAGCACTAAGTTAAGTATACCATTTTATCTATATGTTCCCAAAAATTCTAGTTTAGCACTTCTTAGTTGGGATTCAGGAATCTGTATTTTAACAACTCCACCTGGTGATTCTCATCAGGAGAGAAGTGTGGGAAACACTGTCCTAGAGGAGCAGTGTGTGTTATCACAGCAATGACATTGACAATAACCCTATGGTAGTGGTCAATGCCCATCATGCTGAACGCCCGCCCCTTGTCTTCCGTGGAGGCCAGCTGACCCGGCGCCATCAGGCTCCACGCTTGTGGTGATGAATGTGCATCATGTCAGCGGCACTTGTACTAGGACCACTGTCACCCCTTTCCTGACACTGGCCTTTCTGAGGAGACCAGGCCAGTGACTGACTGAGAATGGCCGCTCTCAGACCGCTCTGCTGGATGCCATTCACCTTGGTGCCCACCCCCTCCATCCCTCAGTGGAAGTGCAGGCTCCGCACTTGACCTGACTCAAGCTGAGCATGTTAGCAAGATCAGAACCTGGGTGCTCCTATGCTCTGGTTTCTGCCTCCCCCCATGCTGCCAGCTTGGTCCAGCATGCGTGGCTCTTGTTACACACTCACATACTTGATCCTGTTACATACTGGATCCCATTATATACTGGATCCCAGTAAGGTGCTGGAAGCCAGGCGTGGCTGTTGCAGCTGGAAAATGTTTTCTTTTACCAGTTGGTACGCGTGGTTAGCCAGTTCTCCGCAGGAGGCGGAGCCTCTGTCCTGAGGGCTGCAGGCTGGGAGTTCGCTCACTCCCAGTGTCTACATGTGCGGGGGGCCTTGGTCTGAGCAGAGCCTGCCTGCTAAGCAGGGCCCAGCGGAGACTGCCTTCCCAGACGGTGCGCTGGCCTCCGGAGGAGGAGGGACAGCCTGGCTGCCGGCGGGCTGTGTGGAAGCTGGGGTGGGGGTGGGGGGCAGGGGGGAAGGCTGTCAGTCCTCAGGGGGGTAGGGGGGCTTGTAAGGGGAGAACCTCCCAGGACAGGGAATGGGGGAACGGAGCTGGTCAAAGAGGAGTTTCCGCAGCGCCCTGAGTGCCCACTGCCTCCCCTGGGCACCTGCGATGAGGAGCCCGTTAGCTTTAGGCCTCTGGAGTCTGCCCCTGACACCAGGCCAGTACAGCGTCTCGTTGCCCTGGTGATGGCAAGGGGCCAGTCCCTCCTGCCCTCTCCTGACCTGATGCCGCAGGAGAGGGAAATGGGACACATTCGGTCTCACCTGCAGTTGGGGAGACATGGCTTCTCGGGCTTGTGCCAGACAGCAGGGGCGAGTCCAGAAGGCCGGTGCCCGGGGGCCAGGCCCGGCGGACTACGGGCCGGGCGGGGCCCGCTCCCCCAGAGCCCTGGGGCAGCCCGGGCCGCTCCCCCCCCCCACCCCCGCCCTCCGCCGGCTCCCGGGCGCGGCTTCCCCGGAGCCCGCAGGGCGCCCGGTGCAGGACACGTGCCGGGGGGCGCCCACCCGCGGCGCCGGGGAAGCTGCTCGGGGCTCCCCCGGAGGAGCCGGCACCGGGGGCCAGGCGGGGGCCGGTACCGGGGCCCCCTCCCCAAGGTCCCCCCGTCGCTCCGGCCGCGTGCGCCCCAGGCTTCCCCTCGGGGACGTCCGGCCCTCGGAGCCGGGGGCCCTGTCCTCTGCGCCCCCCTTCCCGCCCCGCCTGCGTTCGGTCCCCAGAGCGGACCCGGCCTCTCCCTCTCTCCGGGGCGCCGCGCCGGGAGCATCGATTCCGTCCCCAGAGGAGCCGCGGCCGGGCGGGCGCTGGGTCCCCGGGTTCGCGGCAGGCGGCCTGCGCGTCCGGGCGGGAGGGCTGCGGGCCTGGGCCCCGGCTCCGGAGGGGAGGCGGCCCCGGGCCCCGGGCCCGGAGGGGAGAGGCGGCCCAGGGCTCAGCCTGCGGGGGGCGCCGGAGAGAGACGGCGGGGGGGGGGGGGGCGGGAGGAGAGGGGAGGGGAGGGGAGGGGAGAAGAGGGGAGGGGAGGGGAGGGGAGGGGAGGGGAGGAGCCAGGGGCCGATGGGGGCGGATGGGGGCGGATGGGGGCGGGGTGCGGTCGGGCCCGCCCCGGGGACAGGAGAGGTTTGTGCTCGGCGCGCGCAGAGGCTGAGGGAGCCGGTCCCGGGACAGGCTTCTCGGGCTTGTGCCAGACAGCAGGGGCGAGTCCAGAAGGCCGGTGCCGAGGGGCCAGGCCCGGCGGACTACGGGCCGGGCGGGACCCAGCGCTGAGTGTGGCGGCGGGACGAGCCCAGGCGAGACCTCCCGGCCGGGGTGTGAGCCCGGAGCCAAAGGTCTACCAGGCGGTCTGAGCGGAGGAGCAGCCCGGGATAAAGGCGGCCCCGGCGCCTGCCCGGAGGGAGGTGAGCCGGGGGCCGGGGGCCGGGGCCGGGGGCCGCCGCGTCCACTTTTTTCAGGAGATCCCCCCTATCCGGCGCCACCGCGACCCGGGCGGCCGTGCACCCCCACAGCCCCCCCAAAACACCATCCCGGCGCCGGGCACCCCCACAGTCCCCCACCCCCAAACTCCATCCCGGTGCCGTGCACCCCACAGCCCCCACCAACTCCATCCCGGCGCCGTGCACCCCACAGCCCCCCCCAAACTCCATCCCGCCTCCGTGCACCCCCACAGCCCTCCCCAAACTCCATCCCGCCTCCGGGCACCCCCACAGCCCCCCCCAAACTTCATCCCGGCGCCGGGCACCCCCACAGCCCCCACCAAACTCCATCCCGGCTCCGGGCACCCCCACAACCCCCCCCTCCAAACTCCATCCCGGGGCCGGGCACCCCTACAGCCCCCTCAAACTCCATCCCGCCTACGGGCCGCGGCGGGGAGGGCGCCTTCCCCGGGAACTCCGCTGCTCCTTGGTAACTGAATGAAGGAGAAGCGGCTTTTCCCTGAGAAAGTCCACGCCGTTTCACGCGGACGTTAAACAGCGCCTCCCAGACAGAGGACCGGGGCGCTGGAGTGTGTCCTGTGGTCCTTCTGCTGAAACCACTTTCCAAAGCTACACTGGCCCCAGAATCCCCCTTTTCCGTTTAGTCCTCAAACAAGGCGATCAGGGCTGTCAGATTCCGGCGGAAGGTCCAGTCCGGGTGCGGTCGGGGCGCCCACAGAACCCGGGCGCTGCACACACAGCGGATGAAGCCAGGGAAGGGGCCCAGGCCCTGCGAGCGGTCTCTCCCTCCCTCTGACCCCCCTCTCCCTCTCTGACATCGGACACTTCCAATGACATATTCTTTGTGGTGTTTTATATTTAGAGTAAAAGAGGGACTTCTTGCTAGCGTTGTTTTCAGAAGGACAGTTTGTTGTGGAGATGCGGGAAGGACGGCAGCGCGAACAGAGGCTCCTGTGGGAGGTGATTTAAAAAATGCGAAGGCCACCCTGCAGGCAGTGCCCTCCCGGGAGCCCTGCCACCTCCAGACCCGGAGCTTCTGGCCATAGAGGCGGGACATTTCCTATGGTCACATGCTCATGCTTCACCTTTCCAGCATTCTTTTCCGCCCTGATGAGCATCGTGCAGGCCTGGTGAAGAAGAACGAATGCAACTCCCAGAGAGTGCAGGAGCCGGGTTCCGTTCTGCGGGCCTGGGACTGCAGGGTGGCCAGGCCATGGCCGGGTGGTGCAGGAGGTGGCGGTGGTGGTGCCTGTGGTGCTCAAGTTGTGCAAGTGCCTGGATCTGTCCAATTTCTCACGTAACTGATGCAGAGCTCGATGCCCGTGGGAACCACGTTTGCTGTCACAGGGGAGCCACACTCTGTGTTTTCCCGTCAGCAGATGCTCACACGGGGCCTGCTTGTCCAGGCGCTCTTGTCACCAGGCCTGGGAACAAGAGGTAAAGTGCAGTCAGCTCTTAGGAGCCTCCTCTACGATAGAGGCCCAGTGATGTCTCATCCAGTTTTCGTTTTTGAAAAGGCCGTTCCTCTCTATGTTTGTGAATTTCCTTAGGTGCATGACTCTCCTAATTTTATACGCAGTGGATAGTAGAAACTCCCGTTTTCCTGTAGACCAGGGGTGGGGAACCTTTTTCTGCCCAGGGCCATTTGGATATTTATAACATCATTCGTGGGCCATACAAAATTATCAACTTAAAAATTACCCTTCTGTATTTGGTCAAACTTTTAATTAACTCACTCCTATCGCCTGGGCAGGGCCAGACCCAATGCCTCCGCGGGCCTCGCAGGCGGCTCCCGCGCTGCTGTGGAAGGAGCCTCACATGTTGGCTAACGGCTTTCTTTCTCAAAATGCGGGATTGATTTTCCTTTCTCTGGGAATGACGACACACTTTCGATTCCATTGTATTTCTTCCATCCCCTAAAGATGATTCGGTATCTGCAGTGTATGCATATATTCTTATTACAAAAAAAATTGAGAATTCAAGTATGTCATAGTCTTGAAAAGGTAGGGGTGCCACCTTGTAGAACCCCATTTTGTCTGCCGCGACTCAGGACCGGGACTTGAGTGCTGACACAGCTGACGAGGCACGCTCGGGCCCTGCCTCACACGTGGCTTCCTAGTTCTTCCACCAGTTTTGGAGTGATTTCCTATGATTTCTTTGCCGTATATTTTCTGTTCAAGTAATTAATTGCCTAAAGAGGTTTTCCATAAGCTCTTAGAGATATCAATATGATGTACAGTGTGGAATCCCATCTAGTGTCAATTAATAGTACATTTCAGCTAACGTCGTTTCAGTTACTGGACATAAAGTTGCCTCTTGTTTTTGTATTATTCCGATTCTAAGGAATTGAAGCTTTGTCTGTAAGAGACCAGGCATCAGGCTGCTTGGTGGAGAACGTGGTGCCTGGTGGTGCGTCCACACCCATCGGCACGGTGATCTGGAGGGGGGTCCTGTCAGCCGGCGAGGCTCTTTGGCCTGGATGCTGCTCCATTTCCCTGGAGGCAGAATTTTCCATTTCCTTCAATAAAGCCTGCATTCCAGGATTTGTAGCACAGTAGCCAGAGGTGGTTTGGCTCGAAAGCACGCTAGGGATGCTCTTATCACCATCAAGGTGAAGGACACGTGGAAAGGTGGTCACCTTATGAGTAATGCGGTGAAATGGCACAGACATCCAGCCCAGTCTTGCCTCTTCCGAGTCTCTGCCTCCCTGCGCCCCCTCCCCCGCCCAGCCTCTTCCTCACGTGCTCACAGTTTCCTCCTGTGCACATTCCGAAGGCAGATGGGAGAGCAGGCGTGGTCCCTGCGAGGTGCCATGTGCACAGCATGGGCCTTGTCTCTGAGTGAGAGCGCTGGGAGCCCACTCTTAGGACTTCTCAGGCAGAACACCTCTTATCTGCATCACCTTTAGCTCCCTTGAGGAGCTCGGTCCCACACATCCCTGTTGGTCTTGTGACAGTCTTGGTAGGAATTCAGTCCTGTACCTTACAGGGGAGAGCAGGCAGGGGAGAGGAAGCTTGAAAAGCTTCATTGAGAAACAAAGAGAGGAAGACCTCTTGGATCAAAAACAATTGTCCCCCGAGGGACAGGCCTGGGGCCCAGAGGAGTGAGCACGGGACCCTGAGACCCTCAGCTGGACCGGACAGCGGTGGTTTGCTCACTGGCAGCGCCCTGTGGCCTGGAGCTCAGTGCAGCGCTAGGCGGGTGTGCAGAGCCTCTGCCGCTTCTGGAAGCAGAGGGGCCCCTGAGAAATCCGAGCGCGGGGTGCTCGCCGGCAAAGGGGTTTCCGTGAGGGCCAACTCATTCTTTCCTCTTGGAAGGAAAAAAACCTGCTTTCCAAGGAATTTCACTCATTGGCAACTGTGTGGTGTTTTCGTTCCATTCGGAGGAGAGCTAGCTGGTTCCCCGGGAGACGTGCCCACTGGAAGCCCTGCGCCCTGCGTCTGGCCAGGAGAAACTCCTCGTTGTCCTACTGTGCTCTCCTTCCCCGCCTGAGAGAGGCTATGTGGACATGTTTTTCTGTGCTTTTTTCTCTTTCTTCTTTTTATAGTTTGTTTATTTTTCAAATTGGCCCGGAGAGAGTGACTCGTTAGAATAGAAAGCACATCTGGAAGCCATCCCTGCAGTGCTCTCTCCTCCGCTCCTGGAGGACATGCCTCCGGGGAATGCAGGGAAAGGAGCACCCTGGCCTGGCAGGCCTAAACTGGGTGACACAGCTGGCACCGCCTTCCGGAAGGCATTTTGTTCTTTCTCTGTGAGAGGTGCTGGTGCCGAAACGCCTGCCAGCGGCCTGGGAAGTCCCAGCCTGTGAGTGCGAACGCCCTGTGGGTGGATGAGGGCCTCGGGCCTGGGCAGGGTACCTCTGTCTGAAGGGTGTGAGCCAGGCCTGCTCCAGGCTGAAGCACAAGGGAATATAGATTCCCCGGACGACCTCTGCCTTCGAGCCAGCCGTGTATCTACTGTAACACGCCCAGCTTCCTAAGGATGTGCGCATGGGACTGGCCAGCACACACTCCTCAGCACTGGGTTTGGCGAGTGCAGCTGGACTTGAAGCAGCGATCAAACTTGTACATTGTCTCTGCCAGCCCCAGACACTAATTTTTAAGATAAAACAAAATGTGAAATGGGTAAATCTCATCTTCAGAGGCTCTCTCTGCTCCACACACACTCAGCTTCGGGCTCTGGCCGAGCCCAGGAAGCCTCTGAGGGACCCTCTGCGTCAGAGCCCACGCTCAGTGCCAGCACCGCATGCTCACGGATCAGTGGTACCGCGGACACAGCACCTGCTCACACAGGACATGGGCATTCAGGGCACGGAAAGAACACCATGTCCACAAACAACAAACGGTGTGTCTGTCCAATCAGCAGTCACCCCCATGATGGCAGGAGCATCCCACCCAGCACAGCAGCTTCCGGCAGGGCTCCCTCATGGGAAGCTCAGCAGCAGGCTGGCCTAAGGGGTGAGAAGCCAGACAGTGGTCCCGTTTGGGAAGGGGCTTGGGGCACAGAGGGGCCAGCCTCAGGGGCGCCGGGTTGGGACCCGTTTCTGCGGGGTAAGCTAGCTGTCCCCCACTAGATGCTTTGGAGGAGGCAGGGCAATGCTGAGCCGCGTGTAAGCTCAGGCTGGCCTTCGGCCAGCACTCAGCTCTCAGGAAGGTCTACTCTGCTGTGGATAATGCAAAGAAAATACGCTTTTAATTTCCGAGGACAGCTGGGTGCCTTCCAGTCCCACTGCATGTGGAGACTCACACTTCACAGGACATGTGCTCAAAAAGTGTGCTCCTCACCCTGGCCCATTGGCTCCATTGTCCCAGGCACCGGGGGTGCCAGTCGATTCCTGGTCAATGCCGGTGTGGGCTCAGTCCTGGTGTGGGGCATGTAGGAGGCAGCCGTGGAGTGTGGGCTCTCACATCGGTGTTTCTCTCTCCTTTCCCCTTCCTCTCTCTCTGAAAATCAGTAAACTCTCTCTCCCTGCCCTGGTGCTGGCCTTTCCCGTGGACACGGACACGCGTGGTGTCCTTGGCGACCCCAACCTCCTCAGGGACCAGCACCCGAGGGCAGGAAAGCGGTTACCAGGAGGGTCCCGTGGGCAGGGGGCCCTGGCTGGGTCTCCTCTGCTTCCCCTGCACAGCAGCTGCCCACGCTGATCCCTGTGTCCTTCCAGGCACTGAGGCCTGTCTGGGCCTGGGATGAGCTCAGAGGGTAGGGGAAGCCGTCAGAGCCCATCACCCCGAAGCACGGAGCCCCAGGTCAGTAGGGTGGTCCATTTGCCCTCAACCCAAAGCTAAGGTTGTGAATTAAATGTCCAAAAGTACAAAAAGCTTCCCCGATACACACGGTGGGCTGCTGTAGATGACGCCATTTGATCTTAGCTACGCGTTTATGTATTCATAACTTAAAGGTGAAGTCAGGGAGTCCACTGAAAGCCCTTTCCTCCTCGGTGGCTGGGTCCCCCTGGACGTCCCAGGAGGCCGCAGGTGGGGTGGGGAGTGTCCAGGTCGGGTGGGGGAGGCATTAAAATCCAAGCCACCCAGGGCCTGGCTCGTGGGCTCAGCACCTTCACTGCCTCACTCGTCTCCCAAGTTGGTTGTGTCCTTCGGCTCATGTGCACTGATTTGATTTAGCTGGGTGGTGGGAGGGGAGCAGGGGGAGTAGGTAGTTATGCTGCTATTCAGGCATTTGAATTTTAAGCCAAACTCCAAGTCCATGTGCTTGGCCTTGCTTGCTCTCTCTCCCTGTAAGCTCCGAGGAGGTGGACTCCACTTGTACAGGTGTGCGTTCCTTCCTCCCAGCTCCACGCTCACTAGCGAAGCTGCTTCAGGTTCTCGGCTGTCTTCCTCAGGGGCCACGTGGTCAGAGGTCAGGGCTCCGGGCCCTGCAGACCTAAGGGCCTTCAGGATCTGACTTCTGCCCTGGGCCCTGCTTGGCTCCAGGGAAGGCGGGCAGTGTGGGCGTGTCCTGTGATGTCACTCTGAGACTCACCCAGAGCTCTCAGAAACCAGGTGGCACCTTCCCTAGGCCATACTGTTTCCCCGGCCTCAGAGGCTCCTGTTTCTCCTGCTGAGAAGGATGGGCCGCCAGCTCCCGGGCAGTGGGTGAGGGCTAACCGACGGCATTTCCAGAGGGAAGTTCTGGGTCTGTGAGTGACCGGGGCTCCCCACTGAACTCCCCTCCTGGCAGCCAGACCCCAGCGCTCTCGCCCTCCTCCGTCCCGGGAACGGAGGCCCTCTCTGAGCCCCTAGGCCCAGCCACGTGCGTTCGCATTTTGGGTGCCTTTCTCCAGCTTTGCTGCCACCCCCCTTTTTTTTCTGTTTGCAGGAGCCCATTCCCAGCACCCCAGCAGGGGGCTGGCCAGGATCACCTGGGAAGCCTGAGCTGGTCTTTGCTAGAAATGGACGTTCCTGAGGCGCCCTCTGCTGGATCTGGAGCCGACGGCCTGTAAATTCCAAGTGATGTCCAGGGTCCTCACCCCGAGGCCCAGGCCCTCCCCCGGAAATGGGACTCTGTACGAACATTACAGCTACGTGGGCAAGCTGGCCGGCCGGCTGGCGGATGCCCCCGAGGGCAGCGCCCTCACCACCGTGCTGTTCTTGGTGCTCTGCAGCTTCATCGTCCTGGAGAACCTGATGGTTCTGATCGCCATCTGGAAGAACAAGAAGCTTCACAACCGCATGTACTTCTTCATCAGCAACCTGGCTCTCTGCGACCTGCTGGCCGGCATCGTCTACAAGGTCAACATCCTGATGTCGGGCAAGAGGACACTGAGCCTGTCTCCCACGGTCTGGTTCCTGCGAGAAGGCAGCATGTTCGTGGCCCTTGGGGCGTCCACCTGCAGCCTCCTGGCCATCGCCATCGAGCGGCACCTGACCATGATCAAAATGAGGCCGTACAACGCCAATAAGAAGCACCGCGTCTTCCTGCTCATCGGCATGTGCTGGCTTATCGCGCTCTCTCTGGGAGCCCTGCCCATCCTGGGCTGGAACTGCCTGCACAACCTCCCGGACTGCTCCACCATCCTGCCCCTCTACTCCAAGAAGTACATCGCCTTCTGCGTCAGCGTCTTCACCGCCATCCTGGCGGCCATCGTGATCCTGTACGCGCGCATCTACTGCCTGGTGCGGTCCAGCAGCCGCCGGGTGGCCAGTCCCCTGCACTCGGAGCGCTCCATGGCCCTGCTCCGCACCGTGGTCATTGTGGTGACCGTGTTCATCGCCTGCTGGTCGCCGCTCTTCGTCCTCTTCCTCGCCGACGTGGCCTGCAGAGTGAAGGAGTGCGCCGTCCTGTTCAAGGACAAGTGGTTTATCGTGCTGGCCGTGCTCAACTCCGCCATGAACCCCGTCATCTACACGCTGGCCAGCAAGGAGATGCGGCGGGCCTTCTTCCGGCTCGTCTGCCACTGCCTGGTCCCCGCCCGGGGCACCCGCTCCCTACCCATCCAGCTCGCTCTCGACCCGAGCAAGAGCAAGTCCAGTGGCAGCAACAGCAGCCCCTCCCCGAAGAGCAAGGAAGACATGACCCAGACGACCCCCTCCCCATGCCTAACCGACAGGAACAAAACCCTGCAGAACGGGCCCCTCTGCAAGTGAGGGCGGGGCCCGCGGAGTGATCCTCCGGCTCTGCAGCAGCAGCGCCCAGCTCTGCGGCCCCTGTTTGTTTGTGTTGGTTTCAGAGAGGAAGTGCGCGTGCGCGGGAGGGAGACAAACATCAGTGATGAGAGAGAATCATTGATCAGCTTCCTCCTGCACAGCCCCCACTACGGATGGAGCCTGCAACCCAGGCCTGTGTCCTGACTGGGGATGGACCATGACCTCCTGGGTCATAGGTTGACGCTCAACCTCTTATTTATAGCAGCCTTGCCAGGGCTTTACCGGAGCGGAGACTCAGGAAATCCGTTTTGCCGACAGCCTGATGGGTGAGGCTGTCCCGTCAGGCTGGGACTCAAGGACTTGCCATCCCATTTCAGTGTGGAAAGTGCTCTTTGTTTCCGGGTCCAAAGCCTTCCAAGGGTGCCAAGCTGCACGGGGTCCGCCTGGCCACTGTGGCACGTGCAGAGGCTGCGCACTCAGTGTGGTCACAGCACGGACATGTTCTGCCCGTCCTGTTGGGACATGCCTGGGAACAGGTGACACCGGTCCCAGTCTCAGACAGACGTGAAGTCTGGAGTCCAGCAGGTGTCAAATGCAAAAATTCTCAGAAAGCCCTTGTCCAAGGCGGTCCCAGGAGCGTGGATCTGACCTCACAGTCCTGCCCCGTGCCCGGGGGCAGGTCAGTGTCTACCTGGCCAGAACAGCCAAGTTCCCCGAGGACCTGCCACGTGTCCCTGCTCGGTGCTAAGGACACCTGGAGCCAAATTAGCCAATTACATGATTAATCATGGGTTTCCCCAAATCACAAAAACGTCAGCCAAGGTCCCTCAGGAGGCTGAGCTCAGACTAACTAAGAAATGGCCCTGCTCGGGGAAGCGAGGACAGGCCCCTGGGCCGTCTTGTCAAGTTGCCGGAGGCAGCCTATTGAGTGGAAAGTTTCTACTGAATTAGGACAGGTTTACGAGGCATCGTTTTGATCCCATGTTAAGTTTGATTCTGTATCAGGAAAGCACCAGGTCGGAATCCCGTGTTGTCACAGCGGAGGAGCTGGGCCAGTCGCCGTGTCCACACTTGCGGAAGGCTGCCCTGACAGTCACTGTCCAGCAGCTGCATTGTCACACAGACGGGAGCTGGGGGCTGTGCCCTCCTCCAGGAAGTGGACGATGGCCATCTTCCCTTCAGCGCAGGCTGGCTCCGTGTCACTCTGTCGCCTATGGCCAGAGCCACGTCTGTAAGCTCTCATAAGCACACGGTTGACGTCTTGGTTCTTGAAAAATCCAAGCAAACAACCTTCAAAAGATTCTTACTTGGGGAAACCTTCCATGAAGTTTTAGGTTCGGCGCGAATGTAACTGCATAGAGACGGAAGGAGTAGCATTAACACACTAACGACTCTGCAGAGAAATTGGCTCCTGTTCTTTCTGATGCGAGTTCCTCTCATTAAGGGACATTTCTGTGGTCCTGGGGCCTCTCTGTGTACTGACCAGAGACTGTCCTCATTTTATTATTGATGACGTACATCCTGTTTGTAAGCAGAGGTTCGTCAGTGGCATTTATTTTTGTTACCTTTTCACATCACTGAAAAAGAACTTGTCCTTTTACCCTGTAACGTGAGCAAACCCAGGGCATGTCTTGCAAAGTTAAGCATTAAGGTACTGGGTTCAGAAAAAACGCATCAGAGAGCCAAAATGTTGGGCATTACCTTTCACTGAGGTCGCAGCCTGCCTGTCATAGTTCAGGTTGCTTTGGGGGCCCAGATCTCGGAGCTAATAATAGTAATGCTTTGCACCATCGCCACACTTCCCTTTGAAATAACACAAAACGAGTTGGTCCGAAGGTTGTGGGTTATTGTTAAGCTGAAATAACACAAAACGTTCAAGCAATCTGAATGAAAAAGACTCAACAAAGTAACTGTTCATGTGATATGTGCAAAAAAATAACCAGCGGTAACCTGCCAGGTGCATTCCAAGCTAGCCAGCGGACCGCTTTGAAGCTGAGTGCTCCGCCAGAGCCTGCCCACAGGTCTTATTCGGCTAGTAACCTGCATGATGTCCCATGTATGTGTGTTAACCAATAAAGCCACAGCCTTTGTGTAAACCGTTGTTGGGAGTCCATTGAGGGGTACATGCAAGGTGACACCTAGAGGTGTGCAAGATGGCAGCCTGACCTCTCCCCGGGTCAGCACGCAGATCCCCATAACCTTTCCACCCATACTTTCCTCTGGTGTAGCTTGGGTTCCGTGCAGCCAGGGGCAACGGGCTGTTGCCATTTTGACAGGCCAGCAGACTGCCCTTCGGTGGAAAAGGTGGAGAGAGCTGTGGCAGTCAGGGTGGGGCCAAGAGACGGGATGTTTGCTTCTCCATTTGCAAAAGGAGAGAAGAATCAGAACTGGCCCTTTCCTGGCTTTCTCCTTTACAACGGTAAATTCTAGTGTGTGTGTGTGTGTGTGTGTGTGTGTTGTGTTCTACAGAGAAGGAGGCCAGCATTTAGCATGACTAGAATGGTGGCAACAGACACAGCCTCTGCCGCCTTTGCGTCTGCGCAGGCCGGTGAGTTGACACAGGCCGCTGAGAACGCACCTGCCCATGCTGTGCTCACCCACACCTGGGCCGAGGCAGGCTGGCTGCGCTTGTGCCGTGGAGTCTGGAGAGTGACCGAGCGAACCTGCTTCCAGTGGAAGAGTTGCACACTCCCTGCCCTCTTTTGAGGCAACACACGATCCACCATCCAAATGAGAGACTCTTCATGATGTTCTTTATTGCCATGGAGTTACACTGACAGTCATTGAAACAACGGACAAAATGGAAAACAGCTGTTACCTCCACCCTGGCCCCATGGTTATTCTGAGCTGGCAAAGAGCTTGCCCCAGAAGTGTAACAAGGTACATTTTATAGAAAAAAGTTATCAAGTCCATGCTTTTGAATGGTCTCCAGAAGGGCAAACCTCAACCCAGTGTTTGGGTGGCTAAGTCAGATGTCAAAAGGCTTGCCCTCCACTCAGAAACGCACACACCGCTGTTCTGAAGATGAAGGCACATTTTCTGATGACCAGTGGGAAGTGCAGCATTGCACACACGGTGCCAACCCCCTCCTGAGCGCAGTGGTGACACTTGGGGGCCAAGCAGCCCCTCCACTGGCCACCCAGAGGCACGGGGATGTGTCAGGTGCGCGTCAAGGGCTTGCAGCTGGGACCCCATCATCTCCTGAAGGAGCAATCTTGGAGGGTGAGGAGGGAATTGAAGCCAACTTCCTTCCCTGTTGCATCGTCAAAGCTCCCAGCTTCCAGCCAAGTGACTGGCGTTGCCCCTTTCCCAGAGCGGAGATGAGAGAAGCTGCTGTCCGGTTTGCATTCCCACGCAGCGGCCCGGAGTCCACCTGCCAGTCCAGCAGGAAGTGGTGAGCGGGCGGCAAACCCAGACACAGAACTTCACAGGAAAGCTTTTCTGCTTCACAAAAGTTAATGGAAAACCAAACACGACATTTTAAAATAATATTTGTCAGTATGTATAATTTGTCATCCAAATGCTCTTTAAAAAAGGGAATCTTATTACACATCAAATTTATGTGGAGTTCTTGCCTCATACTTGGCCTTAAAGATGAACTGGTTAATTCTTGCTTAAATCTGAATACAAAGAACATTCAGGTAGTTTACAATATTTATTCTAAAACAAGTCATATTCAAAAGTCAAAGGAACAGAGAACATTCCATATGCAATCAACACATAGTTGTCACAGACAATTCTGTTTTAAGGATGGGTTTTCCCATTATTTTTCGCTTTGTTAATTATCATTTACTCATAAGTGAGCCACCAAACCTAGGACCACAGCGTGACTCCCACACGCACACACTTCTATCTACAGCATCTTGAAGTGACTCAGCCCAACGGAAACTGAGATTTCAACTCCCACGTGAGGGAGCCCTGTGCTTAGGAGCCTCGGGATCTCACTCATGTGGGGCCCCTGTGAGCACGAGTGGGAAGAGAAAAGTGAGGGAAGCTGCCTCACCTGTACCCCACACCCCTGATAGCAGCAGCTCGTGGTTGCACAGGTTACCGCCGCCTCCTGGGCCTTCTGCCTCGGCTGCCTGCGTGTCTCCTGCCCTTCAGTTCCAAAGCCTTCGGACCCGCCCAGGAGCTCCGGCTGCCACAGTCCTATTGGCCATGGCCACAGCACCAGCTAATCACACCGACACCCTGTGGTCCTCCCAAGCGGCACTCACAGGCAGGCACCTCCCCTTCCTGCACGCCTCTGCCCCTGGAGCCCAGACAGCGCCTGCCACGTGGGACTAGTGCCCAGACCAGAACACCAGAAGCTGGTTAGACACTGAGAAGCGCTAGGGACGCAGCTGCTGAGGGAGGGCACCGCGCCTCATGGCCACTGATGGTGGGCCTCTGCCACGCCTAGCCTCTTCCAGACACTACGCACTGCTGACCACTGGACGGACGGCCCCTTCTGTCCTTAGGCTCCTCCATCCCCCCTTCATCTCTTCCCCCATCTGCCCCGGCAGGCCTGCCCTCCCTCGCGTCCCTCTAGGTTCCCCACTGTGGACCCTGCGGCCCTCCTCCAGAGGCCAGGACACGTCTGTTCCCAGACTCTCAACATTGGTTTAGCTTTTTGTCTGGTCCTCGTTAGTCAAAATATCAACACCCTGGGAAGAGTCCCAAGGTGCGATCTGTGCAGCCAGCCCCGTGGGCACACGGACAGACGCACACGCATCTTAACGAGCTCAGTGCACGTGTGTGCAGACACACGCACCGCTCGGAAGTTCTCATATGGTGCTCAGTTTTTCTCGCTGCTATAAAATGTGTCAGTTTTAACACCGTGCCTTCTGTTGTTTGCAAACATACAAACCCCATTTAAACAAATCTGGCTGGTCGCTGGCCTTTTATCTCCTAAAGGTCATTCACCTCCTGCTGTTAGCTCCCAGAATGCACCCTGGGACCCAGACATGAAGGAGCATGAAAATACAGTGGGGGCGAAAGTAGGCTTACTGTTGTGAGTAAGCAAAACAGCTGTTCTTGTGTCCCTGTTGGCTGATGATTGTGTTGATTTCCATTCGCCACTGTAAAGCTGCCTGTGCCCCACCTGTGCATCCCAGAGGCGGGCAGCCAGCAGGGAGGGGCTGCGGGGCCAGCCAGGCACGGAGGTGGCTCAGAGTCTGTGCTGCCACCCGCTCCCCAGCCCGCGGCCCTGGCGGCGTCTCCGGGCTGTTGTGGGAACGACTCGCTTGCCATTGCGCATTTTGGGGAAAAGATGGATAAACGCGAACCCGAGGAGGGGGAGCCACGTCCACTTCCATGGGGCGAGCTCTCCTCAGAGCCCTGGAGGGCCTGGCGGCCTGCCCTCTGTCCTGGATCCAGCCGGCGCCGCCCCGAATTGCAGTCCTGGGCTGCCCTTCGCTCACCGGGAAAGGCTCCTCCAGCCTCAGCCCCGGAGCCACGTCCTCCCGGGGAGCAGGACAGCTCCTCAGTGTTCCCCCTCTTTCCGGGACCAGCTTTGTCAGGTTCACTACAGACCCAAAGGTAATCCTGAAACCCAAGGCCAGGATTCGTGTGTCCCGCAGCGCCCTGCCTGCCCTCCCACCCTTCTCTGCGTTCCCAGGGCAGCGTGAGCGGGGCATCTGAGGACAGGGCTGTCCCGCCACGCGGAGGCCCCGCCCCACAGCTCCGGGACCGCACAGCCCGCGGTGCAGGGGCCACGGCTAGCACAGGCCGGGGCTCTGTGTGGGCACAGCCCGGCCTGGACGGGCCTCCTCACGCCCGGAGCTGCAGGGGCACCTGGTGGCCGGCAGGGGTGCCTGATGAGGGACCGGGCAGGGCATGGCACTCCGGGACCCGCTCCCCCCCCCCCCCCCCCCCCCCAGCCAGCCTGACACAGGGTGTGCTGCAGTGAAGCAGGCTCACGGCCGGCCGGTGTGAACAGCCCTTGGGCGCTCAAACGACACCTTGTAAAAAGGCAGAAGCGGCAGCGTTAGCGCCGGATGTGGAGGGGCAGCTGTCTGAGCGCCTGTTTATCAGCTGTCCCGTCCCCGCAGCCGCCGGGCTCGGGGTCAGGCATCACCGCTGACAACCCGGAGGCACTGGCTTCGCCGAGCCGCAGGCTCTGGTCCGGACCAGGATGCCCTCTGAGGCCACCGGAGTTCCTACCGGGGTGCAGGCCGAGGCGTGGGCTCCAGCCACCCGCCCCTGGGCTCGCAGCCTGCCCAGTGCTCCCAGCACACACGGAGGCTGGGCGGGTGGCAGGGGCCGAGGAGAGGGCAGCAGGCCGGGAGTGTTCCGTGGGCCCAGAGTGGCCCTGCGTGGCCACAGCATCAGGGGCACCGGGGGCTGCCCTGCCTGCCTCCGCCCCGGCGGGGACTCTGCAGGAGGAGCTGCAGGAAGATGGCCTCAGCTGCGCAGGGAGGCCGCCCATCGCATCTGCCTCCAGCCCTGAGCTCCACGGCAGCCTGAGAACGGGAGGGGTGTGCAGACCACTCCCCGCCAAGCCGCCACAGCCGCCAGAGCCGCGGGGCTTCCAGCAAGTGGAGCCCAGGCGCCCGCCTGCGTGAGGCGCAGCCACGCCCATCGCCGGCGGCCGGCGGAGGTCAGAGGACCCCCTGAGCTCTGCTGCTTCACAAGCGGGGGGAGCGCGCTGTGCCACTGTTCGTGGTCGTGGAAACTGAGCTTTCGAATGCATAGTTTGAATTAATATTGAAGCAAAAGTTGATCCCCAAATACTTTTAACTTTCTAAATTGATTCTCATGCAAAAAAAAAAACAAAAAACAAAAAAAACAAAGCACTGTTGTATACTGCTTATCACTGAGATAAGCACTGACTTCAGAGCAGAGCCTCTCTGCCTGCAGGTCCCCAAGAGGGAGAGAGCAGGCGGCCGGGAGGCGCAGAAAGAAAAGCCATCCTGTCTGTCTGTGTGTCACACACAGAGGGCAGCACAGGCTCCTCCCAGCGCAGGCTGCTCTGTGCCCGGTGCAGGCCTCCAGGCAGCCCAGCTGCTGCCCGCAGCCCCGCTCAGCCCTCACTGCTGCCGGCTGACTCAGCGGGCATCCACACTGCGCTGAAGCCAGAGAGCACAGGGTGGCCTAGGTTAGTTTCAATCCACTGCAGAACATTCTAGAAGATTGAAGCCACTGTCAGCTTGGATTCACTGGACCCTCCAAGAGCAAAAATTCCCAAGAAGGCTAGACATGAACCCTTGGACCTGCTCCGACCCATCCTTAGCCCATCAGATATATCCCCTCTCCCATCCTGGCCACAAACCCCAAAAGTTGAAAATGGAGTTTACACACTTAGAAACTTTGCCAAATTAGTGCTTATCAGAATTTTAAAAATCTCTCCTTAGCTCCTCAATCCTGCAGCCCAGAGGTTATCAGGATTCAAGGCTAAGTGCCCGGGAGGGGCTTGTGGGTGGCGATATGGAGGTGGGCGCTTCAGGAGGCCCTGCCCCCACCCCCCTCAAGCACCGGGAGGAGCTGCCAGGGCACAGGGAATCCTCTGTCTCTGAAACACACCCACCCAATCACGTGACCTCATCTAACAGACATACACACGCCAGCTCCCAACACCAGACCGTCCAGCCGGAACTGCGTGTTTTACCTCCACAGAAGGCGACGCACTCAGCTCTGTGCCTTTTCAGGCAGCGACTGGGAAACCTGCACCAGAGACAACCAGTGCTTTACCCCCAGTCGCTCCAGAAGCAGAAACTCAGACAGATTCTCAGACCTGGGTCAGGCCAGCGTGGAGCCAGGGGAACCCCAGGACAAAACTGGGGGCACGTGTCCCACAGCTGGTCCACGGCTTCTCCACTGAACAGAGGGATAGGGCAAGTCCACCAGCAGCCACTGGAGCAGCCTGGAATCAACCGGTCTGCCAGAAGGACACCCATCCAGGGCTTTGTCCACCACCCTCCACACTGGCTCTTTGTCATCACTCTGATAGGAGCAAGGGCCGCAGTGCCAGTGAAGATATCCATTGGTGAAGCAGAATGCAGCCCAAGAACTCCTGGACGACAGAGGTGGTTGGGGACAGCATTGAGCTCAGCGTGGGCGACACAACGCAAGTGACGCCTGCTCAGGCAGCACAAGAGCGCAGGTGCTGGCCGGCACACAGGTGTGAGCACAGCCCGGCGGAGCCGGCGGAGCCGGAGGAGCCTCCGGAACCAGCGCTCACGCGTCTCTGTGCACCGGGGGCACCTTGCCTGACTCTGTTACAGCGCGGGCATGCCCCCGCTCTCCTGCGGCGTCTGCTCCCAGGCGGGCTCACGGGCAGACTCCGGTGGCACTTCCCGGTGGACTTGCCCAGGAGAATGGGTCAGTTGAATTAAATTTTGCCCAGACAACTACAGTCAAACGTATTTCATTAAAAACATACAGCACAGAACATTAGTCTTACCTCTTTCTTAGTCTTAAAAAATAGAAATTTGGAGGGTCATTTGTACAGGATGTATAGTATGTACACCTCTACTCTGCAGGTGAGAAAGACAAGTTTACAGAACCTGCACTTTAGACGCGCTCCTCCTGGGGCTCCGGACCGAGGCAGCACCCCAGTCCCTGCAGCCGGGCCCGGTCTCCCGGGAGGAACCGAGCCCCCCACCACGGTGCCTGTCAGGAAGGGCGGCTGGTGGATCACGGGTTCCTCTCCACCGGCTGCTGGAGGCAGAGCTCGCTCCCGGCGGAGACGATGGGCAGCCTGTTCACCAGGTGGTGGTTGATGAGATGGCTGATGCTGTCAAAGATCCTGTCCCTTGTCCGGATCTGCAAACGGCACGGAGGTGAGTCAGCGTCACCACGGGCACACATGAAAGAGCACGCCCTGCTTGGTGTCAGCCAGACCATTTGAACTGCAGGGTCACTTCCTCCCCCTCAGAGATGGTCTGCAAGGCCCCTGGTCCCTGCCACTGGCCGTCCATTCAGTCTGCTCACCTGTCCATCCCTCCAGGATGAGCCACGGCCTCCCCCACCTTCGGCAACCAAGTGCCACGGTGAGGTCCCCAGGCCCCTGCCAGCCTTCTCCCTGCTCCCTCCTGCCCTCAGAGGATCCACCACAGAAACCTCCTACTGTCTGCACCGCACAGCCCACCGAGGTTCACAGGCTTCCATGCCCCTCCCACCTGCAGGCCTTTGCATGGCAGTTCCTGGGCCCAACCCCTCACCTCCACCACCACCACCACCACCACCACACACTAAGCTGCACTTCCAGGTACAGACCACACCTGAAGAAGGCAGTATGAGGTCTGGCCAAGAGCAATCTCTCAATATATGCTCTGGACACAGCCCCCTGGGGCCTGCTTCTCTGAGAGGAAGAGATAGGGCAGGGCAGAGAGCGGGTACCTGGGCACACCATTCACCCTCCAGGTCCTTAGAGGGCCCTCATGGTGGGGCTGGGATGCCTGGGTGCCCAACCTGTCTCTCCACCTTATTACTAGGAGCCCACTCCTTCCTGATGGCAACCTGCTGTCTCTCACCCCTCCCTTGGGGGCTGCAAGGGCATGTCTACTCTCCTATTGACCTACTTATCCTTTCCCCAGTCTCAATCTCTCCCCTTCCCCAGGTAGCCACTCTGTCCCCACTCCGTCATCCCACCAATGGGACATTGCTCTTTGGCTTTCAGCCCCCATCTCACTTCCACCCCAAATCTATGCTATAGGTGTGCACATCAGACACCCCTTTTGGCCCGCCTGCCCCATGTCTACCAATTAGCAGCCAAAGGCAACAGCAGAAACTTTAAATTAGGATGCTTCCATTTCCTGGGATCCAATTCTGCGGTGGGCCCCTCCACACCCATCCCTGTAAGCACCAGAGGGAGGAGATGTCCCAGCCACAGGGTCACCTGACTTGGCCTTAGCCTTAGATGTAATCTCATGGACACATTCAGAAAGGAGCCTTTCTGTAGGACTTTCTGGCCTCTTCCCATTGAGGCTATGCAGTCCTCCTGGAGTCCCCACTCAGAGGGACCGCATGAGTGACAGGGAAGATCCTTCCTCAGAAGCCAGGAGTGCTCAGGAGCTCAGCTTGAAACTAGTGTTGTCAACGTGTTGCCTTGACATTGACTTCTTATTCCCACTTCTTAACAATTAACACTCATGTCAGTCTGGGCAATAAGGGTAGATTAAGGAGGATTTATGACAGGAAGTGTCTGAGACAGTGGTCTCAACCTGGGCTCATGTCAGAAGCACCCGAGGGGCTTTGCTACTCCATGCCCAGACTGACTGCATCAGGAACGGGAGGTGGGACCCAGGCCCCGATGTGTTTTATGCTACGTCCATGATTCTAACTTGCTACCAAAACTGAGGGCCACTGATCAGTGCTCTGGAGTATATGGCCTGGCTAATATAAAGACACATTTAAACAAAGGCACACAAAAGAGGTAAGTCATAAATCCACTACATAAAAATAAATAAATAAATAAATAAATAAATAAAGGCCAGTTCACTTCATTCCTATGAATATTTACTGAAACCTGGGTCTGGCTCCTGCCCAGAGAACTTGGAGCCACAGAGCTATCTCAGCTGCCATGTGCAAGAGCTGGGTAAGAGCACTTACCAGGCAAGCTTCCCCCGGTACCTACAAGGGTTCTGCTGCAGCTATGGCATAGGGAACGTTACCCCAGACAGCTGTGTGAGGCTCTGCATAGCAACCAGGAAGCAAACATGAAGGCCATAGGAGACAAGAGGAAATATGCACATGTTGGAAGAAGAAAGATCTGAAGTCAATAACGTAAACTTCCACCCTGGGAAACTAGCAAAAGAAAAGCAAATTAAGTCCAAAGTAAATAGAGAAAATAAATAATAGAAGTTAGAGCAGAAACCAATGAAATTGAAATGAGAAACTAATAGAGAAAACTAATGACCCTAAAGTCAGTTTTTGGAAGAGATAAATAAAATCAATGAGCTTTCAGGCAACCTAAGGAAAAGAGGACACAAATTATTAATATCAGAAATGAAAAAAAGGTCATCCCTATAGTCTCATGGACATTAAAAGGATAATAAAATAAAGTAAAATGATGGCAGAGTAAGTGGATGCTGCATGGACATGTTCCCAGGACCAAACTGGAATTACAACTAAAATACAGAAAAGCTTCCAAGAACGAAAAATGGAGACTCATCGGAGCGGCAGAGGCACAAGGGGCTGGTTGGGCGCCCACTGGCAGTAGCTGAAGTACTGGAGAGATATCTCAGCTGTGGGAGGTTGCCACTGAGAACTCTGGGGTCTAATCCCCAAGCGGGGCCCCCCAGCAGAGAGAACCAAAACTGAGAAGGATGCCCATATAACATCTGGCTGTGAAAAGCAGTGGGGTTGCTGTCTGCCAGGGAGAGAGCTGGAAACTCTTAAAGGGCCAAGACATAAAATTCCCTGTGTAGTCACTCACCGTGTGCTCTGACAGAGGGAGGGCAAAGTGGACTAGAGCTGTGGGAGCAGAAGCCAGGTTTGGGACACTGGGGGTTAGAGATCAGAAGGCAGACACACCAGTTTCCTATGCTGAGACATTCCCTCACACAATCGAGGTCATCTTTCTCATGCAGACATTTATAATACAGGTGGCTTCACCTGGGGGGAAGATAGCTGGCCTACCCTATTGGAAGACACCTTGCCCAATGGTGCAGAGTCTCCAAGGCCCATTAAAAGACTGAGAATAACAATTAGCCTTCAGGCAGAAGCAATTGCACCACCTTGTTGAAAAAACTGTCACTATACCTGTGGATGATTGCCTGAGGGCAATTCAAGATGGAATTCTATCGTTTTATAGGCAGAGTGGTCTCTGGAGGCTATGAGTCTTTACCTGAACTAATTAGTCAGAAACAGCATTTGGCTCTGTCCTGCACTGGAGATTGAGAGGTGTAGCAGATCCACCGTCCTAATACATAGTCACAAACCCAAACAGAAAGCCAAAATGAGGAGGCAAAGAAACAACCCCAAATGAAAGGACAAGAGAATTTTCCAGAAAAAGTGATAAATGAAATGGAAATAAGAAATTTATCAGACATAGAGTTCAAAATAATGATGGTTAAGATGTTCAACAGCATGAGAAAAAAATATAGTAACTATGAAAGCAGAAATAAAGAATGACATAGCACAAATAAAGAACACACAGCAGATTAGGGGAAGCTGAGGATCAAATCAGTGAACTAAAAGATAGGGTTAAAAAAATCATTCAACCAGAGAACCATAAAGAAAAAAGCAATTAAAAAACGGGAGGACAGCTTAAGGGAGCTGTGGACAGCATAAAACATAATAATATTCAAATAGCAGATGTGCTAGGAGAGGCAGAAAGGTTGAAAGGGATAGAGAACGTGTTTGAAGAAATAATGGCAGAAAACTTCCTTAACCTGGTAGAAGAAAAAGTCACACAAGTTTAGGAGGCACAGAGAACTCCAAACAAGAAGACCCCAAATAGACTCACACCAGACACATCATAATTAAAATGCCAAAAATTAAAGACAAAGAGAAAAGCAAACTGTTACCTAGAAAGGAACTATCATAAGGCTGACACATGATTTCTCATCAGAAACTCTACAGGTCAGAAAGAAATGACATGAAATACTCAAGATAATGGAAAGCAAGGATCTGAAACCAAGCTTACTATATCCAGAATATATACTATATTCTAAATAGGCGGTAAATAAAGAAATTCTCAAACAAACAAACAAACAAAAAAAAGATACAGGAGTACATCACCACCAAGTCAGCATTGTAAAAAACGCTAAAGGGACTGCTGTAATGAAAAGAGAAAACTAAGCATGCAGAATTAAAATGGCAATAAACATGGACCTATCAATAATAAGCTTAAATGTAAATGGATTAAATTCTCCAGTCAAAAGACATAGCATAGCTGAATGGATACAAAAACATGACTCAACTATTTGCTTCCTACAAGACACCAACCTCAGAACAAAATACACACACAGGATGAGAGTGAATGGGTGGAAAACATTTTTCCATGCAAATTAAAATGAAAAAAAAAAAAAAAAAGCTAGAGTAGCAATACTCCTATCGGACAAAATAAACTTCAAAATAAAGGCCATCATAAGAGACAACAAAGCTTACTACATAATACTAAAAGGATCAATTCAATAAGAGGATATAATCCTGGTAAGCATATATGCACCTAAATATATAAAAACTCTTCTAGAGGACTTTAACAGAAAGAAAAACAACAATGCAGTCATAGTTGATTTCACTGGATAGATCTTCCAGACAAAAACTCAACAAGGAAACAGAGACTATAAAAGACACACTGAATTAGATGGATTTAATTGACATTTATAAAACATTTCACTTCAAAGCTGCAGAATATACATTCTTCTCAAGTGTACATGGATCATTAACAAACACAGATGACTTGTTATAACACAAAGCAAGTCCCTACAAGTTCAAAAAGATTGAAATTATATCAGCATCTTCTCTGATCACAGTTGAATGAAATTAGAAATAAACTACAGTAAAAACACCTCAAAATATTCAAACACAAGTTATTAAACAATGAATGCCTTACCAACAAGATTAAGAAAGAAATCTTGGCATAGAAAAATGAAGCCATCAAGAAAACAACAAGAAAGCTCACTGCATGGAAGAACATATTTGCCAATGATATTTTATATAAGGGTTTAATTTCCAAAATTTACAGAGAACTCATACAACTTAATAAAAGGAAGGTAAACAATCCAATAAAAAAAAATGGTCAAAGGACCTAAATAGATACTTTTTGAAAGAGGACATATAGAAGGCCCAGAGACATATGAAAACATGTTCATAGT